GAATGAAGCCTTTGTGAGCAGAAGAGACTTCTTTCAAAAACATTTTACAAATCGTAATAACTCCACACTTTTGAGCAGTAGTGTATCTTAAGCTGTCAGGATGACACAGACAGAGAGATGTATGGCAACACCACACAGAACAAACACACAGTGCGTGTGACTGAATCAATGAAGATTTAATATTCCGGCTCAATTCAATAATCGGTGCAGTCAATTTTGTGGGTGCTGCACACAAACTCAGATATACATGATAGTTAGGTAACACTCACAAAAACATGTGCGGGTCATAGTTCAGCCTAAAATCAAAAATTCCATTTTGCACAAAAAGAAATCAAGCCTATATTTAAGACCATTCGGATTTCTTGTATTGAACTATGACAATTAATCACACTTCCTTTCTCATTACTGTAATGTTTCAGAACGTTTGGCTGGATAATGAATGACAGCGCCTTAAGCTAACCAGAGGATACAAGTGCTATATTTTGTCTTTTTCTTTAACCCTCTGATGCATGATGTCCACTACAATGGTCAGGTCTTCAAAAGTTTGTGATATTACATCCTTACCCATAATTCTATACCAATGTCCTGTTTTGCTGTATTTATTTATGACAACATAATATCAAAATGAGTGATGAAAGTGGTGAGGCATCAAGTAGCACTGAAATATTTACTACTATTTGCTTTGCATTAGCTCTCTAAAGCTACATAATTTTGGTGTAATATAGGAGAAAACAGCTTAATTTCATATAAAAAAAAAATATTATATTCTATGTATTTATTCATAAACAATAAGCAATTTTTCCTATAACACCAAAATACATGATTTTAGGGAGAGAAAACTTCGCATTTATATTTTCATTAATTACTTAAAGCATTTTATAATACAACTTATTTATTAAAAATAAATCTAAATAAATAAACATATACTGTACTTATTTATTTAAAACATTAAGCAAATATCTCCTTTCCTTTTCCTTTACAGATAAAAAAAACAGCAGATAAAAATGCTCTGCAATGTCTCACTTCACTCCTAGAGGATGTGACAATCCTAGTTTCTTTATACACCGTAAACTACCAAAATATAAAGGAAGAAATATGACCTGGACATGTTCTTAATGAGCCTTTAAAACAAACACAGAATTACAATGTTTAAAACAGCACTGTGACGATTTCATGGAAAACTTGCGCACAATGGAAAAGCACAGACACGGAAGAAAACTTGGGATCATTAAACAGCGTTACAAATGGTTTTGGCAGCTGCAAATGTCATCCAAGGATCGATTTGGTAACAGAAACTGTATTGAAAGTGTATGTGGAGTAAGTTCAGGCTGAGGTACGGAGGATCTTGCGTTACCTATGCTGCCCAGGAAGCCATTGGCGGCGGTGTTCTGCTCGGGCCGCATCGCGCCGGAGTCCTGACTGATGAACTCTAAACTGTCCTGCAGTCTGTCAAGGAATCAAGAGGAGCAGTGAGGCAACGGAGCACAGCGAATGTACCACTGAACGTGTGTGTGTGTGTGTGTGTGTGTGCGGCTTACGTGTTCAGGCTGCCGTAGACGCTGCCGCCCGTTCTCGCTGTAAACACTTTACTGAGCATCAGCTGCGGAGGAGATCTGGGAACAAACACACACACACACACATCTGATCAGCACAGGCTGCTCATCACACACACCATCAGCTTGACATCCGTACGCTCTCACCTTATCTGGTGGATCTTCAGCGTTGAGCCTTTGTAGCTCATGGCCACCGAGCCGAACATCATTTCTCCGAGCATGTTAGCGTCTGATGAGCACCGTGAGGAGCCCTGACATAAAGAAAGAAGGAGCAAAGCACACAGGATTGAATCTACAGGAGCAGCACACAGGGGTGTGTTATATATATCTTCTATAATAATACTGTAATTGTTGTTTTAACGATGTGAGAGCTGCTTTTGTTGAGCGCGTCACTCAGTTTGCTCAAACCAAACAAAAGCACGTTTTGAAAGCATGCTTTCATTGCCTGATATAGACCAGTAGAATGCAGTTAGAATGACCTGAATTTCAAGATATGAGGGTAAAAAAATGCTCTGTAGGAGTTATCTTATTTTTCTATATGATATAGTTTAGCAATACCACAGTTGTTTTTTCTCCGAATATTATCATTATCACATATGATATTGATTTTATGCAGCAGTTCAATAAACATCAAGTTAATATTAAGTGATTTGTATTTTAGACACACTATTGTCAGTCTGTTTTCACTCATGAAAACCGTTTCAAATAAAGCCACAGGAGAACCGTTGAGTGTCTCTGAGCAACACAGCGATTCGTTACTGGATGTATCCACGTTTTTGAATGAATCAGTGATTCAATGATCCATTTATAACGAGAGTCACTCGCTTAGTCCCCAAATGAAGCAGCAATTTGAATGAATAGGTTGAATTAGGGATGGGCAACATGGCAAAAAATGTTTTATTTTTTTTTCAGAATGCTTGACTGTTTCTCGATTTTTATTTTTATTTAACTAGTCAACTTGTTCATTTCTCTTAACTGTTATCATTAGCATGTTGTCAATGTGTCTAATTCTAACTTTTGGTATTATATCTATTCAAAATTGTGATTTCTCAATTTATAAAAAACAAAATCGTTGTGATCAAATTAATCGATTAAAATCAGAAAAATCTCTGTCCTAGGTTGAATAAATGACTCAAAGACTCACTCATTAAAACAGTGAACTGCCGCCACCTACTAACAGTTTTAGTTTCATATTTAATATATTTTAATATTCCATTTTTTTTAAACACTAATCTCAAAGCATTTTTTGCTGTGTAAATAGATCTAAATGCTCCAGTAGAGCAAAAATGGATTTTGCTGATTCTGATTTTATTTGATTGGTCAACTCTCATTATTCGAATGGAATTTATTGGTTAAAATATAAGAATCTGGCATACAAGATGATGCATACATCTAATAACGTTAGGGGAAAAAATGCATTCAATTAAAGGTGGCAAATGTCGGCCCTTAACCAAACACTGACCACTGCAAAGAACATGAAGAGAGAGAGAGTGAAGGCTCGTGACAGGACTCACCTGGAAGCGGTTTTGTTCTTTGGGCTCGGAGGCGCAGGACGAGCTGCTGTCCAGAGAACTGCAGCTGCCGCCTGTAGGCCTTAGCTGACAACACTTCCCAAACATCTTCGCCTGTGCCTCTCCACACACCCTCTGCAAACAACACACGGACAAACTCAAGAACCCAGCGAGACGCTCATGAGAGCAGTCACTAAACCCGAGAAACACACTGGTTCATCAAGACCCACGTTTTGCAAAAAAGACATTTGAGGTGTATGTTTGTCTGGAGTGTGAATGCAGAAGAATTCTTAAACAGTTAATGGTGAATAAATTGCCACTGATCTTTTTTTTTTAAAAAGGAGTGAGGGGAGAGTCTGAACTGAATAATGAGACACTACCGCAAAGCAAATAAACATGCCAAAACAAACAACGAGACCAGTTTAATATGAATCATGATCAGATATCTCTTGCGTATGAGTCGGTTCTTTAAATGAATCATTCAAGACGACTCTCAAACGCAGCTGAATCAGTCCGATTATTAAAACAGACCTTTATTTTAGTTCATAGATTTCTGTCCTTCCACTGAAAGTCCATGCAACCAAAACTAACGCTTTAATAAGTTCATAATGACTTATAACACGTGATCCACATAAATGGAGCCTTTTTATCCAAATCTTGTGAATAAAAGCCTAAATGAGATGTTCAACATATAAAGTGATCGTGCCTTGCATATAAATATTGATCAACACACGTCAAATATGATAAGCTGGCTTGACGCACGAGTGGTTTGCTCACAAGCGTCACTAAAGTCCGTTCGAGCTTCTGTTTACCATATTTGATGCGTGTCAATGTCTATGTGAATGAAATCTGGTCATCATGTGTCTCTACAGCAGACTTGGATTAAACTGCTTGATTCATATGGATTGCTTTTACAATGTCTTTATTAACATTTTGAAGCTTTAAAAGTTTTGTTTGCATGGACTTAACAGAGGGACATGAATCTCTAAACAGCCAAGTGTATTCTTAAACACAGATGAGGAAAAAGCCAGAGTTAATGAGTGTTTTGGCTGTGCGTGCCAGGCTCAGTGTCTCTAATGGCTCATGCTGAGTCTCGTCCTGCTCTGCGAAGAGCACAAAGGAACTCGAGCATGTGAGACTGTCATATGACTTCCTTAACAACTCGTGAGCAGGTCTGTTTGCTTACTCGCTCTCTTCTGCTCCTGGTCAATGACTCTCTGTCTCTCTCTCTCTAGTGAAACAATATCCTCTGCCAAAAGCGTCATGTGATTGCAGCCGCAGCTCGGCTCCAGATCAGCGATCTCCAGAGCCTCACCAGAACACATTAGACAGGCTGTTTATTATTCATCTGGCTGCACAGCAAACCAACAGCAGCTTGAACCTGCAGTATACTTCAATGAACATGCAGCGGATTTTAAAGAGCATGTTTTACTTTTATGAGGGTTTTTTTTTTTTTAGCTCTGCTCACAAATACTAGACTATGGAAATAACTTTTACTGAACCTTCTGATCATACTGCAAAAAAATGCTGTGTGTGCTGTTCTTCCTCAGTATTTTTGTCTTGTTTTCAGTGCAAATGTCTCTAAAGATTCTCAAATCAAGATATAAAGTCTTGTTTTCTGAGAAACTGGTTATGAGTTTATGATCAAAACAAGAACAAATATCTGCCAATGGGCTCAAAAAAATCTATTTAATTCAAAGGTAAAACAAGTTTTCATTCTCTACTGACAGACATTTGTTCTTGCTTTAAGCATAAACTCCATTTTGTTCAATTTGTCAGAAAACAAGATTTCATTTGCATCTCAAGTAAATGTGTGAGTTAAGGCTGTTTATATATTTGTATTGAAAACAAGGCAAATACTGAAAAATATTTTTTTTTTTTACAGTGCATGCAACATTTAATGCCTTGACTTTATGAATTTAAGACTTTCTGCTCTGATTTAAGACATTTTAAGGCCTGAATTTGTGGAAGACTTAAGACTAAGATCCGAAGAAACCCTGTTTAGTGCACAAAATTTTTTGAAACGGTCATCAATTTTGCAACATCAACACTCTTCATGAACTGAATTACTTTGAGGTTCATGTGTTCTTTTTTTTCTCATCACATTCAATCCAGACTGTTTGTTCTGCCAAGAGGAAACACAGATCAGAATTCCCTTTACATTTCACGTCACAGTCAGATGACAACATCAGGTGTGGAAAAAGTTGGTTTTTGGGTGAACCGGCTTTTGCACTGCACCCGCAGCCTCATGACAACTAATGACAAACAACTAGCAGACGTGACAGAGAGCTCGATACGCCTTCAGTCATGTGAATGTGAAAGAATGCTTACACACTCAGAGTCAGCTGACGCTATTATTACTGGAGATAAGGCCTCTGGTTCTCACACCACTCACCGTGACCGGGGCATCTTCCGTGCTTCTCTTTCTGGCATCCGAGTCGAAAAGGACGTTCCTGCCGCGCCGCTCACAGTCCTGGTAGACGATGAGACGGATCTGGCTGGGGTCCAGCTCCGGTGACGACCAGCTGACGGACACAGACAAGAACATGAGCACCACAAACACACTGACTCTTAACTAACAAACTTCCTTCAGCGGCGATGGTTTGGGCCACTCAACCAACAATGCGAGTAAATCTTCACTGGGCGACTAAATGATTTCTATCGTTAGCCATTGGCTAATACATTTTTAGATTTTACTTACCGAGGCTTACTTTAATTTAATGTTTAAGTGTAAGTTTAGCACCGATATATTTTCACTCTGACTGAGTGCTTCAGAGTTTCACTCTGTGCTATTTTTCAGTTCATCTCAATGGAGGCGCAGCGCACCTGTATTTGGCGCACCGTAAACTCTAGTGTGAAGGAGCACGACTCGCTGTCGCTGTGCTGATAGCACTGTTTCTCTCACACACACACAAGCAAAGAGAGAGAGAGCGAGAAAGTCTTACATATTATGCAGAATTGACGCGCCACATGTAAACCATATTCGTTTTGGAATTCTTCCGCTTTTAAGAACAAGCAGAAGATATGGTTTCTCCGGTAGTGGACGGAGCTAATGTGCAAACGGCATTCTCATTGGCTGGCGCTCCCCTATTATCGTCCCTGTTTTGATTTCAGCAAATCAGTTCGAGTGAACGCAGACAACGTGATTAATATTCATGAACCCAGCAGCACATCAATCCTTAGTGTGTTTTATATTGTTATTAGTAGTAGAAATCGTAGTTGTATTATTATTATCTTTTCAGTATTATTGTTAGGTTTTTTTGTTTCCGTTTTTTTACAGAAACACTGAATGACCAACATTAGCCCCTTTCACACAGTAATACCAGTAATTGCCAGAAAAATTATCGGAACGGCTTTACCTGTTGTGTTTGTAAACATGGAGGGGTAAATGCGGTCAGTGTTTTTGTTCATTTCATTTTTGTGTCAACCGTTCACATTCATGCAGCTGCTTCTGGCCCAGAGACATCGTATTAGACGACTTTAGACATTTTTTTGACTTGCGCAGAGTAAATGCGTTATCTGCATCAGAATGTTATGTTATGTTATTCATACCGGTAATCTTGTGCTGCGTTCACACTAGTGGCTGGCCGATATTTGTAAGATAAGTTTTTCCTGTTTGGCCGATGCGTTCGAGGCAGGACTTTTATTTTGACGGCGCTGAGAACGGCAGCGTCTGCTAAACGGATAGGCTCGAAATCGGAAAGAAGTGAGACTGATCGGCCGATAACCGATCCGGGCCGATCATGAGGAAAATCGGCCGATTCCGATCCCTGGCCGATCGATCGGTGCATCTCTAATTATAACGATTGCTTTTATATTATTAGCAGTGTTGGGGAAAGTTTTCCTAAAAAAGTAACTAATTACGTTACTTAGTTACTTTTTATTGAAAGTAATGCGCTATGTTACTTCTGCGTTACTTTTTAAATCTGGGCTGGGCTTGCTTGTTTGCTTTTAATATAAAAAGTTATATTTTTGGCAAATATAAAAGCCCTTTCACACCAAAAGCCTCAGGCTAAAGGAAATGCAAATTCACGTCTGTACAGTAGAACGCAGAAGAAGAAAGTTCAACACTCTTCAGCAATAAAAAAAAAGAAGAAATGTTAGTTTATCTTGTGTAATTTTTGCTTATTAGTATGGTTGAATTGGATCACTGAAGGTCAGCAGCAAATAAATGGGATTAAATACATAAAGGATATTTGTATTATTTAACATATTTAATTATTGCAGCTTTGAGTCATATTCTGAGTTGCTTTTAACTGTTTTTATTAATTTTGAGGAAAACTAAATCCGATTTTTTTTTTGTGAGTGAGTGAGATGAATTAATGCATGTTCACATTTATTCTAGAACTAAAGTAACACTTACTCCCGATTTTTCGCAACAAGGGGACAGGAGAGCTTTCAATCTATAAATGGGAAAAAAAGTAACTGGCGTTACTTATTTGAAAAAGTAACTCACTTTTAAAAGTAATCCGTTACAATATTGCGTTACTTCCTAAAAAAGTAACTAATTACGTTACTTAGTTACTTTTTATTGAAAGTAATGCGCTATGTTACTTCTGCGTTACTTTTTAAATCTGGGCTGGGCTTGCTTGTTTGCTTTTAATATAAAAAGTTATATTTTTGGCAAATATAAAAGCCCTTTCACACCAAAAGCCTCAGGCTAAAGGAAATGCAAATTCACGTCTGTACAGTAGAACGCAGAAGAAGAAAGTTCAACACTCTTCAGCAATAAAAAAAA